CATTTATTTGCCATTTGCAGTAAAACCACATTGGAAAAACTGTGCAAGACTACCCCGGTGTACACGCACACACACACAGTCACAGAGAGAGCAGCAGATACATGTGTTAAAATATATATGTATATCTGAGTTGGCATGGTCAGTCAGAGGGGGCGTGGTCAGTCAGAGGGGGCGTGGTCAGTCAGGGTGCGTGGTCAGTCACAGGGGCATTGTAAGTCTGAGGGGCGCGGTCAGTCAGAGAGGCGTGGTCAGTCTATCTACTACATGTGGCAGTAAGGAGTACTCGAGTACTTGCTTCTTTGCTTTAGTGTCATTAGAAAAACCTCAGAAGCCTTTGTTTGTGTTACATCTTTAACACATCACAGATGATCAGAAAAACAAAGGACATGACTCACCCTGATGCCCCGCCATCACACAGATGTACACACACTCTGACGAGTTCCTCTGCGACACTGCAATCACATCATGTTTAAACCTGTGTGTGTATGTATGTGTGTGTGTGTGTGTGTGTGTGTGTGTGTGTGTGTGAGACCAGAGAAGATGGAGGAGGTTTTGTGATTATGTTTATGTGTCTGTGTGTTTGTGTATGTATGTTTATTTTATTTTATTAGTTTAGTTGACACGGACATTGTGCATTAATAAACATTTCTGTAAATGCACCAGAATTAGCCAAGCAGGCTACTTTTTATCTGCAGTCCCTGGACAGGTGTGTCCCTAAAGATAAAAGTCATACAATAATAAAATACAGAAAACACAGACAGTAGGGGAGAACAAGAACACATATATCACACAATAAAAACACAGTTCAACTTCACATAAAAATATATTTACAAAGCATTGAGTAAACTGCCTGGACTAATGGTTACATGTCTGCTGTGTTATTAACCAGTTTTTCAGATGTAATTTGAATAGTGAGCATGGTGTGAATTCTCTGATGTTTGCTGGGATGGAGTTCCAGTCTCTGGCAGCGGTTCCAGTCCCCTTGTGCTGCCCCTCTGGCTCCCCTCTGGTTCCCCTCTGGTTCCCCTCTGGTTACCCTCTGGTTACCCTCTGGTTACCCTCTGGTTACCCTCTGGTTACCCTCTGGTTACCCTCTGGTTACCCTCTGGTTCCCCTCTGGTTACCCTCTGGTTCCCCTCTGGTGACCCTCTGGTTCCCCTCTGGTTCCCCTCTGGTTACCCTCTGGTTCCTCTCTGGTTACCCTCTGGTTCCTCTCTGGTTACCCTCTGGTTACCTCTGGTTCTCTGGTTACCCTCTGGTTACCCTCTGGTTCCCCTCTGGTCCCCTCCTGGTTACCCTCTGGTTCCCTCCCCTCTGGTTACCCTCTGGTTCCCTCTGGTTACCCTCTGGTTCCCCTCTGGTTACCCTCTGGTTACCCTCTGGTTACCCTCTGGTTCCTCTCTGGTTACCCTCTGGTTCCTCTCTGGTTACCCTCTGGTTCCTCTCTGGTTACCCTCTGGTTACCCTCTGGTTACCCTCTGGTTCCTCTCTGGTTACCCTCTGGTTACCCTCTGGTTACCCTCTGGTTACCCTCTGGTTACCCTCTGGTTCCCCTCTGAGACACAGCGTTGTTCCTTACGTGGACAAACTGACTGAGTGGAGGAGATGACTGATTGTGGATTATTTAATATATTAAACAAAGATTTGAATACTTAATGAGATTGTCCCAGTTAAAAAGCCTGTGCTTTTGAAGAATATTGCAGTGATGATGTCGTAAGGGTTTTTTGTCCAGTACTTTTATTGTTCAGTACGTTTATTGTCCGTTTGTATAATGATTCTATTGGTTTTAATGTTGTTTTATTTGCCTGTGACCAAGTTGTTAAACAGAAAGTGATGTGAGATAGGACCATGGAATGCATAATTTTTTTTGCTGCTTGCAGAGATGTGTGTGTGTGTGTGTGTGTGTATATGTGTGTATGTGTATGTGTGTGTGTGTGTGTGTGTATACATGTGTGTGTGTGTATATGTGTGTATGTGTGTGTCTGACCAGAGAGGATGGAAGAGGACTTGAAAAGCTCGTGGAGGTAACTGCTGGAGTTTTCCATCACGTCCAACAAAATGGCGGTGAAGTCTGAGAGAGAAACTGTACTTAACCTGCGGTAGTGTTTGAACACATACACGCTGCGGTCCCCACTTCGCACATGTGTCAGGGATCACACACATTCACCTGCTGCTGTTGTTACTATTATTATTCTCTGCTGCTAAAGAGCAGAATCAACAGTAAATGTGAGTTGGTGTTGTACCTGTGAGTCTGTACCTGTGAGTCCGCATCTGTGAGTTTGCACCTGTAAGTCCGTACCTGTGAGTCCGCACTTGTGAGTCCGTACCTGTGAATCCATACCTGTGAGTCTGTACCTGTGAGATGGTGTCGTACCTGTGAGTTTGTACCTGTGAGTCCGTACCGGTGAGTAAGTAAGTAAGTAATGTTTATTTATATACCGCCTTTCACAGACCAGAGTCACAAAGCGGTTTACAATTGTTGAATTTCACTCCACACAGAGATGGGAGCGGGGTCGCCGAACAGGAGGCGCATGCTAGAACTATTGTACATATTTTTAGTGGTAGGGGAAACCGGAGTACCCGGAGGAAACCTACACAGACACGGGGAGAATATGCAAACTCCACTCAGAAAGGCCCTGGTCCGACCGGGATTCGAACCCAGGACCTTCTTGCTGAGAGGCGAGAGTGCTAACCACTCAGCCGGCACGGTGGCTGAGTGGACAGCACTCTCGCCTAAAGATTACTTACTTACTCAGCCACCGTGCCTGAGTTCGTACCTGTGAGTTCGTATCTGTGAGTTTGTACCTGTGAGTTCGTATCTGTGAGTTTGTACCTGTGAGTCCGTATCTGTGAGTTTGTACCTGTGAGTCCGTACCTGTGAATCTGTACCTGTGAGTCTGTACCTGTGAGTTTGTACCGGTACCTGTGAGTTTGTACCTGTACCTGTGAGTTTGTACCTGTGAGTTTGTACCTGTGAGTCATTCCTGTAATTTGGTGTCGTACCTGTGAGTCCGTACCTGTGAGTTTGTACCTGTGAGTCCGTACCTGTGAGGTCGTTGGTGTCGTTGGTGACGCAGTAACAGAAGCGGCGGCGAAAGGCGCTACTTTTGATGTTTTTGATGCTGGAAACTGAAAAATACACAATTGTTTTTTATCAAAGATCGTTTCACGTCATGTTTTTTAAAGTTTAATTGTATCTAAAGTGCGCTACATAAATAAACTGGAGTGAACCCAATTGTTCATGTCACGAGAAGCACAGGGACTGGCCTCCTCCTGGGACTCTGAGGAGCACAGGGACTGGCCTCCTGCTGGGACTCTGAGGAGCACAGGGACTGGTCTCCTGCTGGGACTCTGAGGAGCACAGGGACTGGTCTCCTGCTGGGACTCTGAGGAGCACAGGGACTGGCCTCCTGCTGGGACTCTGAGGAGCACAGGGACTGGTCTCCTGCTGGGACTCTGAGGAGCACAGGGACTGGTCTCCTGCTGGGACTCTGAGGAGCACAGGGACTGGTCTCCTGCTGGGACTCTGAGGAGCACAGGGACTGGCCTCCTGCTGGGACTCTGAGGAGCACAGGCACTGGCCTCCTGCTGGGACTCTGAGGAGCACAGGGACTGGCCTCCTGCTGGGACTCTGAGGAGCACAGGGACTGGTCTCCTGCTGGGACTCTGAGGAGCACAGGGACTGGCCTCCTGCTGGGACTCTGTGGAGCACAGGGACTGGCCTCCTCCTGGGACTCTGAGGAGCACAGGGACTGGCCTCCTGCTGGGACTCTGAGGAGCACAGGGACTGGACTCCTGCTGGGACTCTGAGGAGCACAGGGACTGGCCTCCTGCTGGGACTCTGAGGAGCACAGGGACTGGCCTCCTCCTGGGACTCTGAGGAGCACAGGGACTGTCCTCCTGCTCTATATTTCATACAGTAGGATGTCAGTGCCTTATACTTAAGTATAAGTCTCTGGACCTGCTGCAACACTGACATTTCCCTGTGAGACCAATACAGATCTACTGTACTGTCTGTCCTTGTGTGTACCTTGTGTGTACCTTGTGTGTACTTTGTGTGTACCTCCCAGCTCTGTCCAGTAGGGCGCGGCCTGACTCTGCAGGGGGAACGTGAGGCAACTTTGTTTGAAACATCATGTGGGTTAAAACAGTTAGAGATAATGTAGTGGAAGACCTGGCAGTAGTAGTAGTAGTAGTAGCAATAGTAGTAGTAGTAGTAGTAGTAGTAGTAGTAGTAGTAGTAGTAGTAGAGTAGTAGCGGTAGTAGTAGTAGTAGTAGAGTAGTAGCAGTAGTACCAGTAGTAGTAGTAGTTGTAGTATAGTAGTAGCAGTAGTAGTAGTAGTAGTAGAGTAGTAGCAGTAGTACCAATAGTAGTAGCAGTAGTAGGAGTAGTGGTAGTAGTAGTAGTAATAGTAGCAGTAGGAGTAGCAGTAGTTTGATAATTAAATATTTATTTTGATCATCAAATATGCTGATGACACCACCATCATCGGTCTCATCAGTGACACTGATGAATCCTCTTATAGAGCAGAGATACAAAATGTGGTTCAGTGGAGTCAAACTAACAACCTCCAGTTGAACGCATCCAAAACATGTGAACTGGTCACGACTTCAGTCGCAATAGTTCTCATTTGCCTGTCGTAATCGACAACTCCCAGGTGCAGATCGTAGAGGAGCAAGTTTCTGGGTTTAACTCTGTCTAACCTGAAATGGGTTAAAAACACTGACCGAGTCGTTAAGAAAGCTCGTCAGCGTCTCTACTTTCTGCGGAAACTTAGAGAATTTACCACTAACTCTAAGATTGTGCTTAACTTTTATGGCTGCACCATTGAGAGTTTACTTGTTGGTTCTGTGTCTGTGTGGTTTGGAAACATCACAGATAAAGAAAAGAGAGCTTTAAACAAGGTGCTCCGCTCTGCAAAGAGGACCGTGGGCTGTGAGCTTCCTGTTCTGGAGGTTCTTTATAAATCCACACTTTTAAACAAAGCTCTTAGGATTGTTAATGACTCTTCTGGCCATGTTCCAGCTTCTTCCCTCTGGCAGAAGATATCGCTCTCTGAGATGCAGGACATCTCGTTACACTAACAGTTTTTATCCACAGGCTGTTATCAGTGTGAACAGAGCACTTTAATGATCTTGCACCTGTATAGAAACTGTTTTTGTCAAATCGTTTTTCTCAGTGACATACAGTATGTTTACTGTTTTATTAGGCCCGAGCCCCGAACAGGGTAAGGGCCTATTGCTTTCACAATGGTGAAAACAAATGGTGGCGGTGCGTGACGGACGTGTCAGCGCCCGTCACTCACCAAAACGTGACGATTGCGTGCGTAAACTTAAACGCTTTAAAATGATGTATCACGTGCCATTGAAACCTATATTGTTTTTGCTCGAGAGATGTCAAATTCTGCACTTTGAGTCTTAATTTGACCCCCTGAACATGGATGAAAAGTTCATATTTTGCCAAAACATCAGACCTGGTGAAAAATTTGATATTTTGGTGTTTATTTTTATGAGACTCAAAAAATGCCAGAACAGCGCCACCTACAACAGCCAATGGGAGTTTCAGAGGTCAAGTTTGTCGTAGAGCCATAAAATTCGGTACACCTGTTCCTCAAGTCAAGATACGACCGAAATATTATTATAGCCCCGCCCTCTGACAAACAGGAAGCCCATAAATGTCACTGCAAAATGGAAAAATGATCCGCAATCATTTTCATACATGTCGGTTGGAAAGCGACTCCTCCTCGGCCGTTTCACCGATTCGCCTCAAAATTGCTCCACATCATCTCAACACATGTACCTTCAAAATGACCTCAGGGATTTTTGATCAGTGAAAATTTGTTTGAGCAGCGGAGCGGGAAAATGTGAGTGTTTTTTGGCCGTTTTTGACAACATTAATTTTGCTCCCGTTTCCACAAACAAAGTCTGATTTGCACAACACTTTAATACATTGTTCAGCTCTAGGGTCTAGGTCATTTGAAAGTGAAATAAATCAACTTGGCTCATCAGCGCCCCCTACAGATGGGGTCAAAGTTTTTAGTATGGGAGCGTTTCGAGGTCAAGTTTGCTGTATAGGCATGAAATTTGGTACACATGTTCCTCATCTCAAGACATGAAATAAAAGTTATTATGGCCCCGCCCCCTGACAAACAGGAAGCCCATAAATTTCACTTCAAAATGGACAAATGAAACATGATCCTTTTCCAGTGATGGGAATAACGGCGTTACTAACGCCGTTACTTTTTTCACTAACGAGTAATCTAACTAATTACTTTGACTGTAACTATAACTCTGTTATCATTAACATCCCGTTACTGCGCGTTACTCAAGACGCACAATAATCTTCTCTTTTTACTTCGTGATAGGACTCGTGCGTGTTGTCATGAGAGAAGGATGAGAAAACCTCTCAGCAATTATTGGCTGATGTAAAACATATTTCCTTTACAATCTACATGTCTACAGTTGAGAGGATGGCTCATAAACTGTGTTTTTGAAACAAATATGGGTCTTAATCTCACTCAACCACGGCTTGTATCACCGTGAGGCCTCAGAGGAGCTCATGTGAGCGCAGAAGGCTGCATACAATTCCATGGATAAGCTCCTTTCTCTTCCTGGTTTATCTGCTAAGGGCAGCAACAGGTTTGGCTAACATACATATAACACATTTTAAGATCATTTAAAATGCACTTAGGGTAATTTTTCAATGACTATAGGAATGATAAGAAAGAGAGGTGAAGTGTAAGACGGTTGATTTTAGAAATTGGATGCAGCCGGCTGCAGCAAAACAGAGGAGTTTACGGAGGACACACGCGTTTTGTTTTACTTTTTAAAACTCATTTCCAAACGGAGGATTACATATCTACGCTCAAACTATTATCTGGACTTAAACACAGAACTGGTCTGAACCGAAGTGGCCTGTGCAGGTCATTTATAAGGTAAGACCCATAACTCATAGTTTTGCGTTTTGTTTGAACAAACAATGCATGAAACATATTCTGCTGTAGCCAAACAAAGTGTCCACTTGATTTATATGATATATATATATATATATATATATATATGTTCATCTGATTGGGCTGAAGTCAGTGCTTCACCGGTGTTTCCACATTCACAGTGGAGCGTGTTGGTGTTTAGTGCTTACAGCCTTTTCTAGATGGAAACATTGGCACTATTTAAACTCACTGAGGTTAAAGGTTAAAGGTAAAAATGTGCACGTCGAGTGCACATTATGTTCCAGAACAAAACGAAAAAGTAATGCAATAGTTACTTTTACTGGTAACTAGTTACTTTTGTAGTGGAGTAACTCCATTAGTAACTCACTTACTTTTTGGCAGAAGTAACTAGTAACTATAACTAATTACTTTTTCAAAGTAACGTGCCCAACACTGTCCTTTTCACACGTGTCGGTTGGAAAGTGACTCCTCCTCGGCCGTTTCACCGATTTGCCTCAAAATCGCTCCACATCATCTCAACACCTGTACCTTCATTTTGATTTCACAGACTTTTGATCAGTGAAACGTTGTTTGAGCAGCAGAGCGCCAAAAAGTGGCATATTTATTTTTCAGTTTTTGACCATAGAAAAATTGCTTCCGTTTGCACAAACAAAGTCTGATTTTCACAAAACTTGAATCCATGGTTCAACTCTTGGGTCTATGTCATTTGAAAGTGAAAATTTTGAAATTGGCTCTATAGCGCCACCTACAACAGCCATTTTAAAAATGCCTATGGGAGGGGTTCGAGGTCAAAATTGTCGTAGAACCATGTAATTTGGTACACATGTTCCTCAAGTCAAGACATGGATTTTTTTTTAACTCACTGACTGCCAGGCATTTTCAGATTTGAGAAGTGCATTCTGCCAGCAATTTCAGGTGATTTGACCCAACTTTGAAGTGCCACAGAATATTCATTTTTTAGACGATGTAAACACCAAGGGCACCAAATTAAAGATTCACCTCTCTGCTTTACTCTGAAAAAAACAGTTTGTTTCTACCTCTTACCGTTCTTGCGTTATTTGCCATAGAACAAAGCATACTTTCACCCATAACACCTGGTCTGAGCAAGAAAACAGAGAAAACGAGCTGTATGTAAACAGGAACATATCAAGCAGAAAAGAGACTTTTAGATGCATTTGTGCTGCTTTAGTGACAACTCAAAACATCTTCACACTTGTTCCATTACAAAAATTATAAAAACATGACTCTGAAATAATACTTTTGATGGCAAATTGCAATTGCAATTTATTCACAGATAGAAAATTTAACTTTCTTCTATACCATCAACCAAAACGTCAAACAACAACAACACAAAGATCAATAAAACTATAGATGTATAAAATAGAATGAAGCATGTGAATTTGAGTGTGTGTGTGTGTGTGTGACTGTCAGTGTGCGAGTGAGTGTCTGTGCGAGTGAGTGTCTGTGTGTGTGAATGTCAGTGTGTGTGAATGTCAGTGTGCGAGTGAGTGTCTGTGTGCGTGAGTGAGTGAGTGAGTGCGTGTGAGTGTTTGTGAGTGTGTCCGATAAATCATGATCAGGTTTGCTGAACGAATCCGAGGCATCAGTAACAGCAGCAGCTGATACGCTGCGAGAGGCGGAAGGTGTGTCTCTGCTCGGGGCTCTTGCTCCGCGCAAATGTAGCTGCAGAGACGGACCTCCACCCGGGTCTCCCCTCTCTCCCCTCTCGACCTCACTCACTGATCCGCGAGTCAATCTCTGAAGCAGTGTATACTGCTTATAACTATTCTTTTTTGCCATCACTCTTGCTATACTATCGCTAAACTAGATCGCTGATCCGTCTCAATGCTACAGCAGCACGCTCTCCAAACACTCCCACACTCCTCCTCCTTCTCTCCACTGACTTATGACCTCTCCTGTGGTGCAATACTGCATCCTACTGGTGGTGATTTATCATTACAGGTACATTTGCACTATATATCAGTGTTGTGGGTCATTCACAAGGTGCGCCAGACATTACTGCAGCCTCCCGTGTAATAACATGAAAAACTCGTCAAACTCGTCATGGGCAGTGAGCGTTACTATTCAACATGATGAGTTTTGTCGTCATGGGCAGTGAATGAGTTAATATGGCTAATCCCTCTGACAAACAGGAAGCCCATAAATTTCACCACAAAATGGAAAAATGAAAAATAATAATTTTCATACACGGCGGTTGGAAAGCGACTCCTCCTCGGCCGTTTCACCGATTGGCCTCAAAATTGTTCCAAATCATCTCAACACACGTACCTTCAAAATGACTTCAGGGAATTTTGATCAGTGAATCGTTGTTTGAGCAGCGGAGCGGCAAAATGTGAGGGTTTTTTTGGCCGTTTTTGACAACATTAATTTTTTTCCCGTTTGCACAAACAAAGTCTGATTTGCATTAAACTTGAATCCATTGTTCAACTCCAGGGTTTAGGTCAGGTGAAAGTGAAATATTTGAAATTGACCCATTAGCGCCCCCTAAAGACTGAGTCAAAGTTTACATGGGGAGCCAAAGCAGTTCTACTTATCATATTCATTACAATTTAACAATCTTCTATGGCTACGGGAACAAATCATCACACGGTGGCGCCACCTCCTTTGTGCGGTGCTGCGTGGTACGGTGTAGTGCGGTGTAGTGCGGGGCGTTGTGGAGCGGCGCGTTGCGGCTTGGTGCGGGGCGGCGTGATGCGGGACGGCGTGGTGCAGGGCGGCGTGGTGGATTGGCACGGGTTGGCTTGGCACTGGGTGGTGCGTGCGGTGCGGGGAGTCGCGCGGCGAGGGCCTTTGGACGCCGCTTGCGGCTTTAATTTATTTTATTTCTGTACTTTTAATGTTGTTTTATGTCTGTATTTGTCTTGTGCACACTGGGAACTTTTGCTACTGAATTGCAATGTGGTTTCACTGCAAATGGCAAATAAATGAATCTGAATCTAGAAGTAGTAGTAGTAAGATTAGCAGTACCAGTAGTGGTAGTAGTAGTAGTAGTATAAGTAGTAGTAGTAGTAGTAGTAGTAGTAGTAGTACATACTGTTGTAGACGAGCAGTGTGAGCTTGTGCAGAGCCATGGAACTGTAGGAGGTGACACTGAGCAGAGAGAAGAGCTGAGAACCTGCAACACACACACACACACACACACACACACACATTGTATATGTGTAATATACATTGTGTTGCTTGAACAGTCTACCGCTAAAAATTCACAACATAAAAACAATTAACAGAACCGGGGACAAAGAACAGCCTTGGGGGCAGCGTTGTGAGTTCAAAAGAATGAGTTCACATGTGTCATGAACGACATCACTGTAAATGAACGTGTGAATTAGTTCACATGTGTCATGAACGACATCACTGTAAATGAACGTGTGAATTAGTTCACATGTGTCATAAACGACATCACTGTAAATGAACGTGTGAATTAGTTCACATGTGTCATGAACGACATCACTGTAAATGAACGTGTGAATTAGTTCACATGTGTCATAAACGACATCACTGTAAATGAACGTGTGAATTAGTTCACATGTGTCATGAACGACATCACTGTAAATGAACGTGTGAATTAGTTCACATCATGTGTCATGAACAACATCACTGTAAATGAACGTGTGAATTAGTTCACGTGTCATGAACGACATCACTGTAAATGAACGTGTGAATTAGTTCACATGTGTCATGAACGACATCACTGTAAATGAACGTGTGAATTAGTTCACATGTGTCATGAACGACATCACTGTAAATGAACGTGTGAATTAGTTCACATGTGTCATGAACGACATCACTGTAAATGAACGTGTGAATTAGTTCACATCATGTGTCATGAACAACATCACTGTAAATGAACGTGTGAATTAGTTCACGTGTCATGAACGACATCACTGTAAATGAACGTGTGAATTAGTTCACATGTGTCATGAACGACATCACTGTAAATCAGAATCAGAATCAGAATCAGAATCATTTTTATTGCCAACGTAAGTAACGGGAGGTCACAGACTTGGAAATTGCTTTGGCTCAGTGCAACAGTCAGAGAGAGATAATAAAAATAAGAATAAAAAACACTTCTAAAGAATAAATTTAAATTTAAAATAGAGTTACAGTTACTATTTACAATATACAAGTGCACATGGTGCACACAATGTAAGGTGACAGCAGTACAGTGAAGTAAAGTGACGTATGATGGGCAGTAAAGTGACTTTATAAAGGGCGGGGGGACAGGTTAAGAAGTGTTCAAGAGTCCAACAGCAGAGGGGAAGAAACTGTTCTTGTGGCGGGAGGTTCTAGTCCTGATGGACCGCAGCCTCCTGCCTGAGGGGAGTGGTTGGAATAGTCCATGTGCAGGGTGAGAGGGGTCGGCTGTGATACGACCAGCCCGGCCTCGAGCTCGGGCGACGTACAGGTCCTGCAGCGATGGAAGGCTGCGGCCGATCACTTCCTCTGCAGAGACCACAATGCACTGTAGTCTCTGTTTGTCCCTGACTGTGGCTCCAGCGAACCACACGGTGATGGAGGAGGTGAGGATGGACTCGATGATGGCCGTGTAGAACTGCACCAACATCTGTGCAGGCAGCTTGGCTTTCCTGAGCTGCCGCAGGAAGTACATCCTCTGCTGGGCCTTCTTGATGAGGAGCTGATGGTCGGCTCCCACTTGAGGTCCTGGGTGATGGTGGTGCCCAGGAAACAGAAGGACTCCACAGAGGTGATGGGGGAGTCCATCACGGAGGGTGGGGGCGGGGGGACAGTGCTCTTCCTGAAGTCCACAATCATCTCCACTGTCTTCTGGGCGTTCAGCTCCAGGTTGTTACCACTGCACCAGGACACCAGCCGGCCCACCTCCCTCCTGTAGGAGACACCAGGACACCAGCCGGTCCACCTCCCTCCTGTAGGAGACACCAGGACACCAGCCGGTCCACCTCCCTCCTGTAGGAGACACCAGGGCACCAGCCGGTCCACCTCCCTCCTGTAGGAGACACCAGGACACCAGCCGGTCCACCTCCCTCCTGTAGGAGACACCAGGACACCAGCCGGTCCACCTCCCTCCTGTAGGAGACACCAGGACACCAGCCGGTCCACCTCCCTCCTGTAGGCGGACTCATCGTTGTTGGAGATGAGTCCAATGAGGGTGGTGTCGTCCGCGAACTTGATCAGCTTCACGGAGTCGTGGCTGGAGGTGCAGTGGTTGGTGTACAGGGAGAAGAGCAGGGGAGAAAGAACACAGCCCTGTGGGGCTCCTGTATTTATAATCCGAGAGTCCGAGACATTCTTCCCCAGACGCACTCGCTGCTTCCTGTCCGTCAGGAAGTCAGTGATCCACCTGCAGGTGGAATCGGGCACGTTGAGCTGGGAGAGCTTGTCCTGGAGCAGGGATGGCAGGATTGTGTTGAAGGCAGAAATCACTGTAAATGAACTTGTGAATTAGTTCACATTACGTGTGATGAACGACATCACTGTAAATGAACGTGTGAATTAGTTCACATTACGTGTCATGAACGACATCACTGTAAATGAACGTGTGAATTAGTTCACATCATGTGTCATGAACGACATCACTGTAAATGAACTTGTGAATTAGTTCACATGTGTCATGAACGACATCACTGTAAATGAACTTGTGAATTAGTTCACATGTGTCATGAACGACATCACTGTAAATGAACGTGTGAATTAGTTCACATCACCTGTCATGAACGACATCACTGTAAATTAACGTGTGATATAGTTCACATCATGTGACATGAACGAAATCACTGTAAATGAACTTGTGAATTAGTTCACATTACGTGTGATGAACGACATCACTGTAAATGAACGTGTGAATTAGTTCACATTACGTGTCATGAACGACATCACTGTAAATGAACGTGTGAATTAGTTCACATCATGTGTCATGAACGACATCACTATAAATGAACTTGTGAATTAGTTCACATGTGTCATGAACGACATCACTGTAAATGAACGTGTGAATTAGTTCACATCACGTGTCATGAACGACATCACTGTAAATGAACGTGTGAATGAGTTCACATGTGTCATAAACGACATCACTGTAAATGAACGTGTGAATGAGTTCACATGTGTCATAAACGACATCACTGTAAATGAACGTGTGAATTAGTTCACATGTGTCATAAACGACATCACCGTAAATGAACGTGTGAATTAGTTCACATGTGTCATGAACGACATCACTGTAAATGAACATGTGAATTAGTTCACATTATGTGTCATGAACGAAATCACTGTAAATGAACGTGTGAATTAGTTCACATTATGTGTCATGAACGAAATCACTGTAAATGAACGTGTGAATTAGTTCACATTATGTGTCATGAACGGCATCACTGTTTATGAACGAGAGAAAGTACCTTCCTACAGTATTCTCGCTGGTGCCGCTTGAACCATGTATCACCAGACCAGTGGCGGAGCCAGAGGGGTAACCAGGGTGGCCACTGCGACCTCGAAAAACACCCTTGCCACCCCCAGTGCCCCCCCTCGGAAGACGGCAATGTAATAATGTGCATATCTTGAGAATCTTCCGCACTTCCGAACTAAAAATTCCCACGGTTTCCACTGTATGTGAACGCACCCTGACTCTGTTTTGAGCCGGCGCTGTATGCTAGTGCTTTTCATTGTTTTTTTGGACTCACATGTGCCCGAGTCGTGATGAAAACAAAGGGTTAGTTAGTGACATAGGGCCAACTGTTTACATTTGACATAAAGTACAGACACAGGTACTGCAGTTGCAGTGCATTACTGTCTGTACTTATGAGCAGAGATGGGACAACTCAGTTTTACTGCCATTGAAAACCATGTAAATCTGTCTGTTTTTGAGTCAAAAGGCTCTCAACCTATGCGGTGTACAGGATATATATATATATATATATATATATATATATATACAGTATACGTTCTGTACACCACACACACACACACGTTTTTGTTACCTGGTGGGTCCCTTTGACAGGGCCGTTCAGAATGGGTAACCTTGCCTGCAAGCTGAATTCTCGCGGTTTTGTGAGTTCACAAACACTCGAGAATACATCTTGTACTGCTCCCGCTTACACTTTTCGAGTCGAACCACTGGGTGTGCGAGCCAATCACGCGCCAGTCTGGGGGTTTAGGGCGGGATATCCGGGTTTGACGAAAGCAAGAAGTGCCGGGCCGAAGCAAAACAAACATGGCTACGCAGGAGGACGGACGCGTAGCTGAGGCTATCAAGTCAGTTTTAGCAGAATCTCCAATTTCTTTTTTGAAAGATGAACAGCGAGAGGCGCTTTGTGCATTTCTGGACGGCAACCTTGGTAGGCGGGCACACAGCGTCACTTCGCCCAATCAGCTTGAAGTATTCTGCTGCTTATCCCTCCTTTCCCCGAAAGGATTCTCCGGGAGAAATCCCAGATTGATATCGTGGAGAACGCGTCAGAGTTCTACACAATCATCAATCTGGCTCTTGCCAGGTTACAGAATGGGACCCATAGACATAATCTTTTTTACTGGGACTACTTTAAGTAATACAAAACAGTCAATAGAAACCAAACAACTATTTTAAAGGAATTTTATTTTAGATTTTGTTTTCGAATTGCAGTGATTCTATTTTTGACATAGAATTTAATGCCACTCCATGTCCGATGTCTAAGGTCATCTGGTGAGGCATTAATGCAGGCCAGGCAGTGAGACTTCCCAGGGACCTTTCCAGTCTGTATGAAAGGTGTCATGGTCTTCTCCACAGCCTTCACCTCAGATGCAGACCATGGCTTTCTCTAACGTTCTAGGGAGAGAAATAAAAATATATTAGCAACATACACTCCCAGGGTTAGGACCAAGCAGCCTGGCTGTAATCCCCCACCTGGTACACTTACCAGAAGGGGCACTGCCACTACCATGGGGTGCATCTGGATGAATGGTTGAAGGTTCTCCGCTTGAAGTCTCTTTTAGCCCGTCCGTTTGTGAGAGGATCTCTACTGCTCTCCCTGTCGCACAGAAAATAAAAATACAAGTGGCCTTTAGGGGAAAAAAATTATACATATTTTAATAATATCAAGAATTACCTTCAGGCTCAATTTGTATCTGGTCGAGGCTCTTTCCTTCGAATTCCGTCACTCTTCCCTGCTCCATGGCCATCAACACTTTGCTGATTTTGGCCAGCTCCAGTGTCCCCTCTGGTAGTCTGTAATATTGCCTGTGGATGCGAATGTCATGGCCGAGGAAGTTGGCAAGTATGTCCATCTCATTCTCTTTCATATTGAGAACTGTAGACATAGTAGCTATGTGCTTTCTAAGTTTGGTTGAGGATAGCATCTCTGGATGCACCGCACCACATTCTTTGGCTACCTGGCGTAGGGAGTCTGATCCCCTGATGTGGGTGTCTGCGCCCGGGCGGGAAAAGAAGTATGGGTTATGGTCAGAGATGGAACAGGCCCTTCTGTTCTCCACCAGCACCTCCATCGAAGCAATCATTTCAGGAGTCAAAAGAACCGGCACTTTCCGACTTCTTTTCCCTTTAATTTCAATGCGTTGAAAATGCTGACACAGCTTTTTCTCAAGTTGGGACAGTCCCAGAGCAATGTCAGAATGGATCCCAGTCTTACTTCTTAAGGTAAAGGCTGTCAGTGGCATCTTTGAAACCTCACCTTCCCTTCTTCGATTGAAAATGATGACCTCACAAAGAGTCAAAACTGCCAGTTTAGACCAATGCTTAGACGTTGGCTCACTTATTAGGGTTTGCACATATTCAGGTCGACATACCTCAATATGTGCATGCATGGCTCTAACGTCCTCAGTCAGAGGGAGCAGGTCCGGAGTGTTCCACTTGGCTTGCCGGAGGGTCTGTAGGGCAGCAGAAGAAACACAGACGTCCCACCTCTTCTCAAAAAGCAGCCGGCTTCGTTGGAGGTTTTTAATAAATAGTTCATCAACACAATGCTCCATTTTTGAGTCACATTCAAGAATATCTGCTAGCTTTCTGAGGCTATGGCCGAGTTTGAGGGCCAAGGATGGAGTCTTGTATTGATTTGTTTCCTCATCATATCCAGCCACAGACCTGACTGCATCAATCACATGGTTAAAGTTGGAAGGAATAAAGAAATCCTTAATTGTTTTCAGTTTCCCTGCGGTTTTTGCTTCGTTAATTAACCTACCGACTTCTCTCATTTTCTGCCTAATGTAATCATGCTTAGTCTTATCATGCCCGTGTTTTAAGTACAGGTGCTCTCCGAGTCTCAGAATCCCCTTTTCTGCTTTGACAACACCCGTGACTTCATCCTGATGCATTGCCCAAATTAAAGACCACAGCTTTTTGCTGATGCCCTCCGGTACAGGCTGGGCTAGGGAGCAGAGGGACTGGACCCTACTTCTACCTGGTTTAGCCTGGTTTAGCCTGGGCATCTTTCTGTGAAAGCCGGCACCTGGCCACATGCCTCCACAGCGACTTTCGCTTAAGCAATGCCCCACAGTCTATACAGTGCAAAAACTCACTGGATTTAACTGGGGAATTTGGCTGTTTAGCTGGGACTAAAGTTCCAATGCCGGCCTTTAAAACCTCAAAATTGTGCTCACGGTTTCCACTATTCCTGATCAAATCAAACTGAAGTTTACGTGCTTTAGATTTCACAGGTAGAGCCAATGCTCTGGCTACGTCACTTTCATTTCCATGTTTTCTAGTCAAATGACGGGACATTTTGTGGCAGGACATTGAACAGTAGAGGCAGAAGTGTCTCTTGCTGTATACTCGCCCCCCATTTTTCTTCTTTTGCAGCTGCATGATAACAATCTTATTTGCCTTTGGTTCGTCACTTTCCGAGTCTTGAAGAAAAGTGTTTTTGATTTTTCTTTTTCCATACTTTTTTACAGGTTTCTTCTTGACAGTTAAATCGTCAGAATCTGAGTCGACTTCATCAATTAGGGACTCTTGACTAAGCTGCACAAACAACAAATAATTAGTAATAATTCTATATAACAATTTGAAGTCAGGACTTGTAGTCAGCACTTACCAGTGGTTTGTAAGCGTGCGCTTCAGTGTGCTGCTCTGTGATTGGCTGCAGCCTAATGAACCACACACTTGCACCTTTTCTAGCCTGACACCTGATTTCCTCTGTTGTGCTGCTCCATGATTGGCTCCAGCCTCTGTTGTGCTGCTCCATGATTGGCTCCAGCCTCTGTTGTGCTGCTCCATGATTGGCTCCAGCCTCTGTTGTGCTGCTCCATGATTGGCTCCAGCCTCTGTTGTGCTGCTCCATGATTGGCTCCAGCCTCTGTTGTGCTGCTCCATGATTGGCTCCAGCCTGCTGGACTGAAATTGCCCCAGTGTGCCCCTCCTTGATATCCCGCAACCCACCACCAGGGTTCCGACACAGAACACACTTTTTTCAGGAAAGTAAACCTCCAGGGGTCCTTTCCATATTTTTACAGAGACTGCATAAGGACTGTTAGAAAAGCATTACCCATTGATTATTAAGCTTGGACCAGTGGGGTCCGGTGTTCGGGCCCCACCACGTAAAACCAGTCCCCATGACGTGAGTGGTTTATAAATGTTTTATTATATGACTCTCGTCTGTGTCTTTTACCAATGCTTTTGAGATATTTGTGAAGTATGTTCTTGTCCAACTTCGTTTTGTGTGATACGCGCTGCGGACAGATTGTTATGGTAACGGTCCGAGGAAAGATATCAAATGTGATACGCGCTGTTCGGACCAATTGTCATGGTAACGGTCCGAGATGGGAAATATCAGACCGGTAATCAACCCAATCAGAACGCGCGTACGGTCCAAGTCATATAATAAAGTCACTTACTGCCCTTTATAAAGATTCAAATTCAGATTCAGATCAGATTCATTTATTTTGCCATTTGCAGTAAAACCACATTGGAAAAAACATGTGCAAGACTACCCCAGTGTGCACCAGATGACACACACCAGAGCTCTTGCCACAGCTTTTAGGAAAAAGTCACTTTACCTGCCCTTTATAAAGCCACTTACTGCCCTTTATAAAGTCACTTTACTGCCCTTTATAAAGTCACTTACTACTAAAGTCACTACTGCCCTTTATAAAGTCACTTACTGCCCTTTATAAAGTCACTTACTGCCCGTTATAAAGTCACTTTACTGCTGTCACTTTTTTGATAACTGCATATTGTGTGCACCATGTGCACTTTTGTATTAAGTGTTATGTTAATATGTTAATATGAACAATAATTGTAATAAAATAATAATAATTTTAATAATTTAAATTTCTATATCTTAGAAATTTGCTGATTTTTACTTTGTCTTACTCTACGGTCTTATTTGACTGTTTGCACCGACAGGCAAAGCAGTTTCCAATCTCTGGACCACGTCTGAACGAGGACCGGGTCCACCATCGAGTCTGAACCAGGAATGAGTTGTTGTATAATTAAAATGTTGTATATTTTAATATTTGACCATTTGGACATCATAGCCAAAAAGACCTCTGTGCACTCAGGAAAAACCCCAAGGACACAAGATAGTATACAAACTAGACAATTATTGACTCCAAGTATAAGCAGGGCTCTCTCTCTCTCTCACTTTGGGCGAGAGCAAAGTCCAAACACAATCAGGCGCCGCAGGGGTGGGGCCATTGTTTGCTCAGGTGGAGATGGAAGACCAAGACCGGGTCCAGACCAGGACCAGGGGCCAGACCAGTCCCAGACCTGTGACGTCATCGGACCCTGGGCCCAAGACCTCCCTGATACGACACGCCCCCTGCTCCCTGAACATCGACTGATAAGGCTCAGGCTTGGGCAGACACGGAAGAATCAGCCGAGGGCCAGAGAGAGGGACATGCATAGTTTTAGGAGCCCTCTTTGTTGGAATTTCTGTATCTGATTGTAAAGATAAATTAAATACAGATGTTAAACTTGGAGATCTGTTGTCATGCCTCTGCATCAACTCGAACACGTCAGTCAAGGGAATTATTGACTTCATTTGGTGACCCCGACGTGATGGTGCAGGGGCAAGACAGAGATGAGCTCAGTTATAGAGACTGGATTTGTGGGTTTGGAAAAATCTCTCTGCTCTTCAAAACGGTCGCTTCTAAGGTAAGCGGATCACAGTTTTGAAAATCTGCACATTGTTTTAAATAGAAGAGAGAGAGATTTTGGCTCGACAGATTGCAGTGTGGACAAGACCGCCGTGATGGGCGATTCTATCGGACGCGATAGAACAATAGTCAGGTTTTTCGACGTTTTTGAACCTTGAGGGATGCTGGTCTCTCTCTAAAAAAGAATATACGGGAAAAGAGCCACAGGATTTATAAGTGCAAAAGAGGCACACCGTTTTAAGGTGCAAAAGAGGCACAAGTGTTTAGATAAATAGGATTAGAAAATAGGGACAGTTAGGGTCAGAAGTTATAGGATAATAAAAACTCCATATCCCCCGGGGGGCGGGAAAAGGGTACAATTAATTTAAACAGAAAAAAGCCAAGTATTTAAAATGTGGATTCTGATACTAACGATCTGATTAATGAGAAAAAAAGAGAGCCTCTTGGCTGTAGTATACGAGTTTCATGTGAAGAAATGACAAAAGATCAGTCTGGGAGTTTTTCTCTTGTATTGTGATGTAATGTTTCGATAGTTACAGAGAATCAAAAAAAAAAAGATTCTGCTGGAACCCTCGATACATTAATCAGGTAGCAAATGGTAATGTTTTCCATTACTGACGTATTTAAGGATAAAATGTAAAGTGTCGTTTGACGTGAGAAAAACTTTTACCACTGATTTAAAACCTTGTCACGAGAAAAACGAGGAAAGTATTTCAGACTCCATGCTTCCTTTGTTCGGGAGGCCCCTCCCCTCCCTCGTTCTGTCCTCTCTCTCTCTCCCTTCCTCTCTCTCTCTCTCTCTCTCCTCTCTCTCTCTCTCGTCTGTCTCTCTCTCGTGAAGAAAGACATTTTTTTGTAGAAAATTACATTTATACACACGATAATGTTACTGACATGGAGTCATAGGATCACAGAACTTTGAGTTAGATTATAAAGAGGCATTATTTTATTTTTTATTTTTTATCTGGACAAGTTTTTTTTTCCCTACATTTTGGTGATATAAAAGTTAGAATGATCTTAGAGAGCATTATACTTTTGGAAAAATAGGGCTCAGGATAGCAGTTGAATGCAGAATTCGGTTTTCAGAATCTAATGTTTAAAATGTTAATATTAATTATTCCATAGGTTTATTTTGAATTGTAATTAATCATTGGTTTGGTATGGTAATTAACACACTTGTTTGTGTTTCTTGTTTGTCTGTTTTTTCCGAGAAAACTTCTGTCTGTTTCATTTGGCCAAAATCGTCTCTGCCACAAACCTCATCGGGCGCCATCAGCACGGACATCAGCGTCTCCCCAGACCCACAGGGGGCAGCAAAGACAGCAGCATCGGCTGCAGCAGCTAACAGGAACTCTCGAAGAAGACTTCTCCTGCCCTGTGAGGAGGCAAAGAAAAGACCGCAGACTTTTTCACAAACTGAGTGTTGTCCCATCCACGAAACAGAAGGTGGCGGTAATGCGAAGAATAGGCCGCCAACCGCCGGAAAACCAAACAAGAAGAAGAAGGACACGACACATTTGGGTGCGTCAGATATGAAAGAAGAAGAAAGACATTATGAGGAAAAGTTATCGGAAGAAAAAGAAAGTGATTGTTTGAAAGAAGAAGAAAGACATTGTGAGAAAGAGTTAGAAGAAGAAAGAAGTGATTTGAAAGAACATGTGAAAAGAGTTATCGGAAGAAGAAGAAGTGAGAAAAGAAGAAAGACATTGTGAGAAAGAGTTAGAAGAAGAAAGAAAGTGATTGTTGAAAGAAGAAGATGAAAAAGACATTGTTGAAGAGACAAAGACATTGGACACTTTGAGACAAAAGACATTGAAAGACGCCATGAGTAAAAGAAAGACATTAACGGACATTTGAGACGTGGCTGGCCTAAATGAGACACACAGAAGGTAAATATACAGACAGGCAACAAACGCACAGAGACATATTAAGTCATATTTACACATTTAGCTAGGTCATTCGTTCATAACACTACATTTAGCTGCATGAAAGAATACAGGACAATCGTTAAAATTAATTAGACTCTGCTTTAGCATGAGACACAAGGAGATTAGAACAGCAGTATATTTAAGGTAGAGGAGCTCTATTATTGAAACTAGTATTATTTAAAGTTATAGACGCGGAGAAGTTTAGAATTATTGATTTTGACTGCATGATCTTGGTAATACGGATATTTAAAGCAGTGTTTTCAACCTCTGAACCGTGGCTCGTTTCTCATTTAAAAACAATCACATGCACAGTTGAAACTGGTGCTAGAAAGAGAACTGCAGCTTTTAATGGACGCTGCATTTAGTACAAAATGGTTTGTTCAGACAATTAAAGTTTGAAAAATGATTTAAAGCATTTCTAAATTTTGGCTAAAGGTGATATTGGATCATTTCTGATAACACATAGACGCAACGCTGTTCATTGGTTGAAAACACGGATGTAGGGACATTTTATGAAATCTTTTATGACATGTTTCTCTTCCAAATAGCTAAATTAGAAACAATTAGGACAATTATGTCTTTGATATAACTGTTGGCAGTTTATCTGAGACATGATTGGTGCAAGTACACACACATAAAACAATGGTCTTTTCTCCACATGAACGTGAAACAAGGGTGAAGTATTAAAGTTTGAAACTAATTTACATTTTTAAGGAATCCGAACTGGCTTTAAAAAAAAAAAGGGAAAAACATTTATTGCAGTGCATTTTAAAGTAACAAGAGCTCATTAAAAATATAGGGGACACAGTTTGTGACAAGCCCGAGTAAAGACCACGTGGTTTAAACACTAAAGTTTGAAATGGATCCTTTTAGGAAAAATCTCTCAAAGCTCTGCATGTTCTGCAGGCTCTGAAAGTTGCAACTATAAAATAGCTCATGAGACAATTGTAATTGGACATGGAAAAATATAACAAAGTTAAAATTACAGGCCTCTTGTGTGTGTTATATGTTTGTGTATGTTATATGTTTGTGTGTGTTATATGTTTGTGTATGTTATATGTTTGTGCGTCATGTCAAGTACACTACGTTGACCTTAACAAACTCTGGACCAATATACTAACGTGGGGAGTCGGCCTGTGTGAGTGATGCGAGTGTGATGTGAAATGAGGAGTGAACGAGGAGTGCTGAACGGATCATGGAATAACAAAAGTTTTCTGTAATGTTTTAATGTGATCATGGAATAATTATTTTTTGTCAACAGCATACGGTGTAAGTACTAGAGATTCAAAGATAACAAGCTTTATTGAACAGGTGTAAAAGTGAGAGTACTCTGGGATGAGTACTCTGAGAAAAGTACTCTGAGAAAGTACTCTGAGATGAAATACCTTGCTGAAGGTACTGGGAGCCCCTCCCTCTGCTGTTTGTCCGGACAGTGATTCGGTCCAACCGCAGTGAGCGGTCATTGGGCGGAGGACAACTTTGGTTTGTAACTCACATTTAGGGGAGTATAAAATTAGAAACATACATATTGTTAAGTCTGTATTTGGCTACAGCCTCTGCCCTGATGTCACACACCGTCTGTCAATGCAGTTATGTTTTGCCTAATTGGATTGATTGACAGGCCGCACCATGCGAAGAGAGGGAAGTGGGCGTTTCTTGTGTTCTAATGTTTCTTTTTCAGATGAAAGATAAACTGCACCTGCTTCAGGGATGACAGTAGTATGGATCATAAGGAAATGAGCCTCTACTTTGGCACCAAAGCCCACAATATGAATTGAGGACGATCCGGGAGGAACAACTGGAGAATGATGGGAACAGTAATCTACACACACACAGATGCATGTTTTATACTTTGGCCCACGACCAACAGAGGGGAGTAGAGTATTGTATTGTCATAGGTGGTCATGGTCCTTAACCTTCTAAATCATTAGAAAGAAGTGTAAAACATATATTTACAAGAACAAATAAATAATAGAAAGGGCAGCCTAAAAAAGCAAAATGGGAAAATTATTAAGTAATTTTCAGAGTTGCCAAAATGAAATAAAATTCTATATTTGTCCCATAGGGGGTCATTCTAAATTTAGTGTTGTGCAAATTCAAAAGGAGAAATAATAGCGCTTATAACATCAAACAGATCTACTCTTTAAGATAATAGATCATACAATAATAATAATAGAATAGAATGAAATAGTCTGGAGCTATAATGTCATTGGATTCGAGGAGCTATAGGTTGAAAGGTCGCTAAGAAGAGGTGTCAGAATAAACAATAGTAATAATAGTTAGAGGAGTGAATAATCAAAATAGTTCTATTGTGAAAATAAGTATCAATAAGGTCAAATTGTTCTAATAACTAAAGTAAAAAGGAATCAAATGGAGTCAGATTTTAGATGTTTCTGTTTTCCACATCTGTAGGAATTAGTGCAGAGGTGTTTATAGAGAGTAGTATTAAAATGCAGACATAGAACGACAGGCTTTAACACAATTTTAAATCTAAAAATAGCTCAAATATAACATTGCTCTTGACGCAGCCTCTAAGCTGCTCCATTGGAGAACAGGTCAAATGTTATTGTTTATTACAAACAGCTGATGTATTTACACATATTAAGTTTGGGACAACTCTTTAAACAGTTATAAGCAGCGGACAGAAGCCATGAATGTGCTTTTGTTTATTAAATAATTAAATGCATAGCCTTATAATCGTAGAGAACGTTTTAAAATAGTTAAAATCCCTTTCAGGCAACTTGATTTAGATGTATGTCTTTAATATTGGAGAACGACTGTGTTGTTTTTGGAATTGTCTGAAATACAATACATAGAATAGTGATTTGCAGAACAAGAACCAGCCAATGAAAAATCGTCTATTGCCAATGCAATTGTTACAATCAGAACTCAAAAATTGGGAATATGCTTTGGCTCAAACTACAACCAAGATTTGGAGTCACAATAGAGTGTAAAATAGATAGATGCTTTCAAAAAATAGAGATTATTTTTAGACAGGGCTAATATCAAACGGTAAAAAGACCATTTCCTTCATATTATGTCCAAAAGTAGATAAAGTTCATGAGTGTAGCCTAGATTAATGTAGCTTAGATTAATGAGATAGATTAGAACCAACAGAGATTCAAAAACATTTAAAAGCATTTTGGTTAATTTGAATATAGCACAAAAGTAGATATTTAGGTATTTTTGAGAATTTTAAGAGCTGTCGATTTGTCAGCAACAGATTAGAGAATCAAAATACCGTTGTATAGGGACTGACCCCAGAGAAACCTGCTAAAATAGATTAGCTCCTGTAACGATAATACCAATTTGATTAATGATGAAGAATCAGAATGACACAGCGGTGGTCATCAAAGAGTTTTGTGAAGGAATGTTTCGAATGTGGTTGTGTGTTGTTTGTTTTCCCTGTATTAACTCTTCACAGATATCAAGCCTGAACTAAGCACAAGTATGGATGATAAACGACGATGTGGATTGTGACCTAATTTTTAATCAGGTCAAAAGAGGGAAACTGTTGTATAATTAAAATGTTGTATATTTTAATATTTGACCATTTGGACATCATAGCCAAAAAGACCTCTGTGCACTCAGGAAAAACCCCAAGGACACAAGATAGTATACAAACTAGACAATTATTGACTCCAAGTATAAGCAGGGGCTCTCTCTCTCTCTCACTTTGGGCGAGAGCAAAGTCCAACACAATCAGGCGCCGCAGGGGTGGGGCCATTGTTTGCTCAGGTGGAGATGGAAGACCAAGACCGGGTCCAGACCAGGACCAGGGGCCAGACCAGTCCCAGACCTGTGACGTCATCGGACCCTGGGCCCAAGACCTCCCTGATACGACACGCCCCCTGCTCCCTGAACATCGACTGATAAGGCTCAGGCTTGGGCAGACACGGAAGAATCAGCCGAGGGCCAGAGAGAGGGACATGCATAGTTTTAGGAGCCCTCTTTGTTGGAATTTCTGTATCTGATTGTAAAGATAAATTAAATACAGATGTTAAAACTTGGAGATCTGTTGTCATGCCTCTGCATCAACTCGAACACGTCAGTCAAGGGAATTATTGACTTCAGAGTCCACCATCGAGTCTGAGCCAGGACCGGGCCCACCATCGAGTCTGAACTGGGACCGAGTCCACCATCGAGTCTGAACCAGGACCGAGTCCAGGTCCATGTATTTCAACTAGACAGGGACAGTGTTGCCACAACTTAGAGATAGTGAGAGAGTACAGTAACTTAGAGATAGTGAGAGAGTACAGTAACTTAGAGATAGTGAGAGAGTACAGTAACTTAGAGATAGTAGAGAGAGTACAGTAACTTAGAGATAGTGAGAGAGTACAGTAACTTAGAGATAGTGAGAGAGTACAGTAACTTAGAGATAGTGAGAGAGTACAGTAACTTAGAGATAGATAACTAGAGATAGTGAGAGAGAGTACAGTAACTTAGAGATAGTGAGAGAGTACAGTAACTTAGAGATAGTGAGAGAGTACAGTAACTTAGAGATAGATAGTGAGAGAGTACAGTAACTTAGAGATAGTGAGAGAGTACACTTGTCAGTCTCACCTTCATCTCTGTGAACAAGAGACTGAGACTGTATGAGCAGTGATACAAACCTGTGTCCTCCTGGGCTCTCTGCTCCTCCTGGGCTCTCTGCTCCTCCTGGGCTCTCTGCTCCTCCTGGGCTCTCTGCTCCTCCTGGGCTCTCTGCTCCTCCTGGGCTCTCTGCTCCTCCTGGGCTCTCTGCTCCTCCTGGGCTCTCTGCTCCTCCTGGGCTCTCTGCTCCTCCTGGGCTCTCTGCTCCTCGCTCTTGACACCTGAAAACATGTCACATGTACAACAAAAACAACACACAATGAAAGGAAAAGTCAGGAAACCAGTGTTGTGCCAGTTCACAGCTTTTCTGAAATAGTTCAAGTTCAGTTCATCCATGCTAAAAGTGAACAGTTCACGTTCAAAGTTCACATTTTTAATTCATTTCATTCATTCAATTCAAATGCAGCGCATTTAATGCGCTGCAGTGCTGTGTCTGTACTTTATGCTCATAAACTACAGACAGTAATGCGCTGCAGTGCGTGTGTCTGTACTTTATGCTCATAAACTACAGACAGTAATGCGCTGCAGTGCTGTGTCTGTACTTTATGCTCATAAACTACAGACAGTAATGCGCTGCAGTGCGTGTGTCTGTACTTTATGCTCATAAACTACAGACAGTAATGTGCTGCAGTGCGTGTGTCTGTACTTTATGCTCATAAACTACAGACAGTAATGTGCTGCAGTGCTGTGTCTGTACTTTATGCTCATAAACTACAGACAGTAATGTGCTGCAGTGCTGTGTCTGTACTTTATGCTCATAAACTACAGACAGTAATGTGCTGCAGTGCTGTGTCTGTACTTTATGCTCATAAACTACAGACAGTAATGCGCTGCAGTGCTGTGTCTGTACTTTATGCTCATAAACTACAGACAGTAATGTGCTGCAGTGCTGTGTCTGTACTTTATGCTCATAAAACTACAGACAGTAATGCGCTGCAGTGCTGTGTCTGTACTTTATGCTCATAAACTACAGACAGTAATGTGCTGCAGTGCTGTGTCTGTACTTTATGCTCATAAACTACAGACAGTAATGCGCTGCAGTGCGTGTGTCTGTACTTTATGCTCATAAACTACAGACAGTAATGCGCTGCAGTGCGTGTGTCTGTACTTTATGTCAAATGTAAACGGTGTAAACTTTGTCGCTAACTCACCCTGTGTTTTCATCACGACTCGGGCACATGTGAAAAGCACCAGCTCACAGGCCGCACCGCAACACAGAGTCGGGGTGCGTTCACAGACGGTGGAAACCGTAGGAATTTTTAGATTTCGGCGGGAAAAGTGCAAGAATACAGGAGGGAGGAACTTTCTCTCGTTGCGTTTCAAAAGAGAAAACTGATTTCAACGTTCATAGTGATGTCTGCCGTTCATGACACATAAAATGAACTAATTCACGTTCAAGTTCTTTTTAAAAATGTGTTGCGTTCAGTTCAACGTTCACGAAAAAATTAGCGAGTTCAATGAACGCGTTCTTTTGAACTCGTTCACGCACAACACTGCAGGAAACATACAGTATGTGATCACAGTGTAAGGTTTCATCATCAGTATCCTCATATAGTAATGTATCATAACGTATCGTATCGTAACGTATTGTATTGTAACGTATTGTATTGTAACGTATTGTATTGTAACGTATTGTATTGCAACATAACGTACCGTATCGTAACGTATCGTAACGTATCATAACGTATCGTAACGTATCATAACGTATCGTAACGTATCGTAACGATATCGTAACGATATCGTAACGTATCATAACATATCGTAACGTATCGTAACGTATCGCAACGTATCGTAACGTATCGTATCGTATTCCAACGTATCGTAACGTATTGTAACGTATCGTAACGTATCAGAGCGTATCGTAACATAACGTACCGTATCGTATCGTAATGTAACGTATCGTAATGTAACGTATCGTAACGTACCGTATCGTGCCGTACTGTATCGTATCGTATTGTATCGTAACGGGTTAGGGTTGTATCGTATCGTATCTTAACGTAACGTATCGTAACGTAACGTATCGTAACGTAACGTATCGAAACGTATCGTAACGTGTCGTAACGTATTGTAACGTATCGTAACGTATCGTAACGTATCGTAACGTATCGTAACGTATCGTAACTTAACGATATCGTAACGTACCGTAACGTATCGTAACGTATCGTAACGTATCGTAACGTATCGTATCGTATCCCAACGTATTGTAACGTATCGTAACGTATTGTAACGTATTGTAACGTATCATAGCGTATCGTAATGTAACGTAACGTACCGTACCGTATCGTAACGTACCGAACCGTATCGTAACGTACCGAACCGTATCGTAACGTACCGTACCGTAGCGTGTCGTACTGTATTGTATTGTATCATAACGTATTGTAACATAACGTATCGTAACATAACGTATCGTAACATAACGTATCGTAACATAACGTATCGTAACATAACGTACCGTAACATAACGTATCGTAACATAACGTATCGTAACATAACGTATCGCAACATAACGTATCGTAACATAACATATCGTAACATAACGTACCGTAAAATAACGTACCGTAACATAACGTACCGTAACATAACGTACCGTAACATAACGTATCGTAACATAACGTACCGTAACATAACGTATCGTAACATAACGTAACGTAACATAACGTACCGTAACATAACGTACCGTAACATAACGTACCGTAACATAACGTACCGTAACATAACGTATCGTAAGATAACGTGTCGTAACATAAGATATCGTAACATAACGTATCGTATCATAACGTATCGTATCATAACGTACCGTATCATAACGTACCGTATCATAACGTACCGTATCATAACGTATCGTTACTAGGGCCGGGACTTTAATACGTTATTTAAGATAAATTAATCCCACAAAAATTAGTGCGTTAAAAAATTGACGCATTTTCATTGTATTTATTTTTGCACCGCGGAACGTTTTCTCACTGGATGAGTTTTGGCCATGTCCACACAGAGCTGGGTATTTTTAAAACCAAATATTTCCCTGTTGTGACGGCCTACGGGCCTAACAGCAGTGCAGAGTACCCGGCCTTCTTGGAGTCCCTGGGAGGGGTACTGGACGGTGCACCAACCGGGGACTCCGTTATTCTCCTGGGGGACTTCAACGCCCATGTGGGAAATGCCAGTGACACTTGGAGAGGGGTGATTGGGAAGAACGGCCCCCCTGATCTGAACCCGAGCGGTGTTCAGTTGTTGGACTTCTGTGCCAGTCACGGCCTGTCCATCACGAACACCATGTTCGAGCACAAGGGTGTCCACCAGTGCACGTGGCACCAGGACACCCTAGGCCGGAGGTCGATGATTGACTTTGTTGTTGTATCATCTGACCTTTGACCGCGTGTCTCGGACACTCGGGTGAAGAGAGGGGCGGAGCTGTCAACCGATCATCACCTGGTCGTGAGTTGGATCCGCTGGCAGGGCAGGAGGCCGGTCAGACCTGGCAGGCCCAAGCGTGTAGTGAGGGTTTGCTGGGAACGTCTCGCTGAGCCCCCTGTCAGACGGACTTTCAACTCACACCTCCGGGAGAGCTTCTCCCAGGTCCCGGCGGAGGAGGGGGACATTGAGTCCGAGTGGAACATGTTCTCTTCCTCTATCGCCGATGCGGCGGCTCGTAGCTGTGGTCGCAGGGTCTCTGGTGCTGGTCCTGGCGGCAATCCCCGAACCCGGTGGTGGACACTGGCAGTAAGGGATGCCGTCAGGCTGAAGAAGGAGTCCTATCAAGCAATGATGGTTCGTGGGACTCCTGAGGCAGCTGTCCAGTACCGGCAGGCCAAGCGCGCCGCGGCCCGGGCTGTTGCAGAGGCAAAAACCCGGGACTGGGAGGAGTTCGGAGAGTCCATGGAGCATGACTATCGGTCGGCCTCGAAGAGATTCTGGCAAACCGTCCGGCGCCTCAGGAGGGGGAAGCAGTTCTTTGCCAACACCATGTACGGTGCGGGTGGAGAGCTGCTGACCTCAACTGGGGATATTATCGGGCGGTGGAAGGAATACTTCGAGGTTCTCCTCAATCCCCCCGTCACGTCCTCCGCCCTGGAGGCAGAGGCTGAGGATGTTGGGGCGGATACTTCCACCTCCCTGGCTGAGGTCACCAAGGTGGTTGGCAGCCTCCATGGTGGCAAGACGCCGGGAGTGGATGAGATCCGCCCTGATAATCTAGAGTCTCTGGATGTTGTAGGACTGTCTTGGCTGACAAGCCTCTGCAACATCGCGTGGCGATCGGGGGCGGTGCCAATGGAGTGGCAGACCGGGGTGGTGGTCCCTCTCTACAAGAAGGGGGACCGGAGGGTGTGTTCCAATTATCGTGGGATCACACTCCTCAGCTTCCCTGGTAAGGTTTACTCCAAGGTACTGGAGAGGAGGCTACGGCCGATGGTCGAATCTCAGATTCAGGAGGAGCAGTGTGGTTTTCGTCCCGGTCGCGGAACACTGCACCAGCTCTATACTCTCCATCGGATACTCGAGGGTTCATGGGAGTTCGCCCAACCTGTTCCCGGTGAATGCTGGCCTCCGACAGGGCTGCCCTTTGTCACCGGTTCTGTTCACTGTGTTCATGGACAGAATTTCTATGCGCAGCCAGGGGTCAGAGGGGGTCCGGTTCGGGGACCACAGGATTTCCTCTCTGCTGTTTGCGAATGATGTTGTCCTGTTGGCTCCAACGAACCAGGACCTGCAACATGCATTGGAGCGGTTTGCAGCCGAGTGTGAAGCGGCTGGGATGAGAATCAGCACCTCCAAATCTGAGGCCATGGTGCTCGACCGGAAAAAGGTGCCGGATACAAGCGGTCGAAATGAGCTTCCTCCGCAGAGTGGCTGCTCCCTTAGAGATAGGGTGAGGAGCTCAGTCACACTGGAGGAGCTCGGAGTAGAGCCGCTGCTTCTTCACGTCGAGAGGAACCAGTTGAGGTGGCTCGGGCATCTGTTCCGGATGCCTCCTGGACGCCTCCTTGGGGAGGTGTTCCGGGCACGTCCCACCGGGAGGAGGCCCCGGGGAAGACCTAGGACACGCTGGAGGGACTATGTCTCTCAGCTGGCCTGGGAACGCCTTGGGGTTCCCCCAGACGAGCTGGAGGAAGTGTGTGGATAGGGAAGTCTGGGCGTCTCTGCTTAGACTGCTGCCCCCGCGACCCGGCAACGGATGAAGCGGAAGAAGATGGATGGATGGATGGATATTTCCCCCCCTCGGATTATAAAATAATTTTCATCCACACAATACAGAACATCTGTGTTTCCAATCTCATTCATAACATTCAAACATGTGTCTCTGACGTCCTGCGTTGGGGAAAAATGTTGGTACTTTTACAGTCATGGAAGAAACTCAGGATGAGTCATGGTAGAAACTGGCAGAGGGGGACTAAACCCTGGCAGAGACCTGTTGATGCAGAAGGGGACTAGACCCTGGCAGTGACCTGATGATGCAGAAGGGGACTAAACCCTGGCAGAGACCTGTTGATGCAGAAGGGGACTAGACCCTGGCAGTGACCTGATGATGCAGAAGGGGACTAGACCCTGGCAGAGACCTGATGATGCAGAAGGGGACTAGACCCTGGCAGTGACCTGATGATGCAGAAGGGGACTAGACCCTGGCAGTGACCTGATGATGCAGAAGGGGACTAGACCCTGGCAGTGACCTGATGATGCAGAAGGGGACTAGACCCTGGCAGTGACCTGATGATGCAGAAGGGGTCTAGACCCTGGCAGAGACCTGATGATGCAGAAGGGGACTAGACCCTGGCAGAGACCTGATGATGCAGAAGGGGACTAGACCCTGGCAGAGACCTGATGATGCAGAAGGGGACTCTACCCTGGTGGTGGGAGCTTAGAGAAGGGTTAAACTGCTGGTCAAGCTGACAAGATCGTGATGGGGAGGAGGAGGGTTGCTGCACGAATAAAAGCTTTCTGCACAATATGAAAGCTTGATACACTGTTGCCAGCTGAGCGTGATTGGCTGATTACTGATGCTGCGCAGCAGCGGAGAGGACTGAGAGCAGAGACTTTAATACATTTATGTTACCTGTGGACTCGTCTCTCCTCCACACCTCCTCAGACCCCTGTCCTGAGAACACAGAGACATCGCAGGAGAGAGGAGAGGAGAGGAGAAGAGAGGAGAAGAGAGGAGAGGAGAGAGGAGAAGAGAGGAGAGAGGAGAGGAGAAGAGAGGAGAGAGGGGGGAGGAGAAGAGAGGAGAAGAGAGGAGAGGAGAGAGGAGAAGAGAGGAGAGAGGAGAGGAGAAGAGAGAAGAGAGGAGAGAGGGGAGAGGAGAAGAGAGGAGAGAGGAGAGGAGAAGAGAGGAGAGAGGCGAGGAGAGGGGAGAGAGGAGAGGAGAGGGGAGAAATGAGAGGGAGAGGTGAAGAGAGGAAGAGAGAAGAGAGGAGAGAGGGGGAGAGGAGAGAGGGGAGAGGAGAGAGAGAGGAGAGGGGAGAGGAGAAGAGAGGAGAGAGGCGAGGAGAGGGGAGAGAGGAGAGGAGAAGGGAGAAATGAGAGGAGAGGTGGAGAGAGGAGCGAGGAGAGGAGAGGAGAAGAGAGGGAAGAGGAGAGGAGAAGAGAGGAGAGAGGAGAGGAGGGGAGAGGAGAGAGGGAAGTGGAGAGAGGACAGAGGAAGAGAGAGGAGGAAAGAATGGAGATTGGAGAGAGGAGGAAAGAGGAAAGAGAGGAGAGAGGAGGAGATGGGAGAGAAGAGAGACTTTAATACATATACAGTATGTTACCTGTGGACTTGTCTCGCCTGAACACCTCCTCAGACCCCTGTCCTGAGAACAAGAGACACATCAGGAGAGAGGAGGAGAAAGGAGAGAGGAGTAGAGAGGAGAGGAGTAGAGGAGTAGAGAGGAGAGGGGGAGTACCTGGAGTTTGTGACAGCAGCAGGGAGAGAACAGACAAACACAGCAGAACACAGACAGGAGCCGAGACACAGGACGACATCCTGCTGCACACCTACAACACAACAATACTGGTACTGTAGTACTACAGTAACAGTACTACTGTTACTGTAGTACTCCTGTTTCTGTAGTACTACTGTAGTACTACTGTTTCTGTAGTAAGTAAGTCATGTTTATTTATATAGAGCCTTTCTCATGCCAGAGTCAAAGCGGTTTACACTTGTTAGTCTCTGACTCCATTCAAAGGTGGGAGGGGCCGGTACAGGAGGCACAGACCTATCGTACATGCTTTTAGTGGTAGGGGAAACCGGAGCACCCGGAGGAAACCTATGCAAACCCGGGGAGAACACGCAAACTCCACTCAGAAAGGCCCTGTTCCGACTGGGATTCGAACCCAGTACTACTTTTCTTAGACTATAACATCATCAATGAAAGAGACCAGAGAGAGACCAGAGAGAGACCAGAGAGAGACCAGAGAGAGACCAGAGAGAGACCAGAGAGAGACCAGAGAGAGACCAGAGAGAGACCAGAGAGAGACCAGAGAGAGACCAGAGAGAGACCAGAGAGAGACCACAGAGAGACAGACCAGAGAGAGACCAGAGAAAGACCAGATGCTTCTGGCCCCTGGAAAAGCCATGTTCCAGCTTCTTCCCACTGGCATATCATCAGCTACAGGACATCTGAATATGCTAACATGCTAACAGCTTTTTTCAGCTGTTCTCAGTCTGATCAAAGCACTTCAATGATCTTGTTTTGAAGCTGTTTTTTTCCTTCTCTATTTTAGAGTCTGGCGTGTTTCAGATTCATGCTAAAAATCTGTCTTCCTGAAAATATGAGACAGGCTTCTTCTCTGAATTTGTCCAGGTTAAAAACGGTTCTATTTTTGCAACAACTGAATCTTTCTTTTTACTCCTTTTAATTATCTGTGCTAAAGTGGGTTAGCTGCAAATGTGAAACTCACCTGTGTGTCTGTGGAGAGCTCCACTTTGGCACCTGAAGTAATCCTGCCCATCGTCAGGGGCCGAGTGCGCGGAGCTCAGAGAGACACAGGTCTCAGGTTCCCAGCTCCTCCTCCACACTCTGAGCTCACTGTGGCTGCTTACACCACCTGTCAGACTGTACAACAAACACTGGCTTGTGATGGAAAATCCTCCCCAAAGAATGATGTTTCCACCTCCATGATCACAGTTCTTCATCCTTTTTCTCCAAACACAGCAGGTGGAGTTTAGACCAAAAAGGGCTGAGCAGGAGGAACAGGAGGAGCAGGAGGAGGAGGAGGACCTGAGCAGGAGGAACAGGAGGAGCAGGAGGAGGAGGACCTGAGCAGGAGGAACAGGAGGAGGAGGAGGACCTACGCAGGAGGAGGAGGACCTGAGCAGGAGGAACAGGAGGAGGAGGAACTGAGCAGGAGGAACAGGAGGAGCAGGAGGAGGAGGACCTACGCAGGAGGAGCAGGAGGAGGAGGAGGAACTGAGCAGGAGGAACAGGAGGAGCAGGCGGAGGAGGACCTACGCAGGAGGAGGAGGAGGACCTGAGCAGGAGGAACAGGAGGAGCAGGAGGAGGAGGAGGACCTGAGCAGGAGGAACAGGAGGAGCAGGAGGAGGAGGACCTGAGCAGGAGGAACAGGTGGAGCAGGAGGAAGAGGAGGACATGAGCAGGAGGAACAGGAGGAGCAGGGGGAAGAGGAGGAACTGAGCAGGAGGAACAGGAGGAACAGGAGGAGGAGGAGGACCTGAGCAGGAGGAACAGGAGGAGGAGGAGGACCTGAGCAGGAGGAACAGGAGGAGCAGGAGGAAGAGGAGGACCTGAGCAGGAGGAACAGGAGGAGCAGGGGGAGGAGGAGGACCTGAGCAGGAGGACCAGGAGGAGCTTATGTCCCTCACTCCCTGATGTTCCAGACTGAGGGAGATTAACCGTCGTCTTAAACTTCTTCCGTAATTGCACCAACTTTTCTTGTATACAGGTGTCTTGTGTACAGGTGTCTTGTGTACAGATGTCTTGTGTACAGGTGTCTTGTATACAGGTGTCTTGTGTACAGGTGTCTTGTATACAGGTGTCTTGTGTACAGATGTCTTGTATACAGGTGTCATGTATACAGATGTCTTGTATACAGGTGTCATGTATACAGGTGTCTTGTATACAGGTGTCATGTATACAGGTGTCTTGTGTACAGGTGTCTTGTGTACAGATGTCTTGTGTACAGGTGTCTTGTATACAGGTGTCTTGTGTACAGGTGTCTTGTATACAGGTGTCTTGTGTACAGATGTCTTGTATACAGGTGTCATGTATACAGATGTCTTGTATACAGGTGTTATGTATACAGGTGTCTTGTATACAGGTGTCATGTATACAGGTGTCTTGTGTACAGGTGTCTTGTGTACAGGTGTCTTGTATACAGATGTCTTGTGTACAGGTGTCTTCTGTACCGGTGTCTTCTGTACCGGTGTCTTCTGTACCGGTGTCTTGTATACAGGTGTCTTGTGTACAGGTGTCATGTATACAGGTGTCTTGTGTAGGGAGCCCCCTGCTGGAGAAGTATGGTAACTTGAGCACTATCCTCTCCTCCTTCCTACTTTACCTGTTTTTCATTATTAGGATTTTGACTGTAGTCTGTTTATTGCTATTCACCCATTGTCCCATTGTCTGTTCCATGGTACAATGACGGGATCTCTGAGCCTGGCCTCTTCCATCCACACCTGCGGACTGCCCCGCCCGACCCGCCTGGGAGTGCTTCAGTCCTGCACCGGACCTGTCCACGTTCAGCGGCCACTGGTCCACGTTCTGTACATAGACTGTATATATTAACGGACAGAGTCAGGCCTATCTGCGCCGTTCTAACTAATGGGCCAAAAATGTGCTCTACTGGAGCTATCCAAAATGGCCGCGAGTGGTCCCGCCCACAAGAAAATTGTGAAAAAACGCATCTGTGCATGCGTCAGCTGCACGGGCTCCATTTATTTGAACGAGAGACTTCAAAAATTCACAGCAAGTAAACTAGAGTGGTCCAAAAAAATCCCCCCTCAGCATTGACACACATGTGGAACGGAGCTTTGGGCCAAGGGTCAACTTTTGGTCCATCCTGTAAAGACGTTTTTGAGAGGTCTGCTAATGCTATATGTTAGCATTGGCTAATTCTTCTTCTGGGTCCACCCCCACAGGCCCGGGGTGGTACTGCAGCATGTCATTTTGGCCACTTTTGAGCTGGGACCCTCCCCCACTGGTTCTGTAGCTTAGGTCCTGGATCTATAGCCTCAGTCCTCGTTCTACAGTCTGACTCCTGGATCTACAGCCTCAGTCCTCGTTCTACAGTCTGAGTCCTGGATCTATAGCCCGTCCATCCGTGGGAGAGGATCCCTTTCTCAAACCATGGGTCTCTCTGAGGTTTCTCACTTTTTCCCACTGGGTTTTCTGATGAGTCTCTGATGCAGGAGTCTGTTAGAGTCTGTGTCCAACAGAAGGACTGTGATGACCTGTGTTGGTGATTTCAATGCTGTTGTTAAGTCTCTGAGATGATACTGTTGTGACCTAGGGCTATACAAGAATACATTGTATTGTTTACAGGTGTCTTGTATACAGGTGTTATGTTTACAGGTGTCTTGTATACAGGTGTTATGTTTACAGGTGTCTTGTATACAGGTGTTATGTTTACAGGTGTCTTGTATACAGGTGTTATGTTTACAGGTGTCTTGTATACAGGTGTTATGTTTACAGGTGTCTTGTATACAGGTGTTATGTTTACAGGTGTCTTGTATACAGGTGTTATGTTTACAGGTGTCTTGTATACAGGTGTTATGTTTACAGATGTCTTGTATACAGGTGTTATGTATACAGGTGTCTTGTGTACAGTTATGTATACAGGTGTCTTGTGTACAGTTGTTATGTATACAGGTGTCTTGTGTACAGTTATGTATACAGGTGTCTTGTGTACAGTTATGTATACAGGTGTCTTGTGTACAGTTATGTATACAGGTGTCTTGTGTACAGTTGTTATGTATACAGGTGTCTTGTGTACAGTTATGTATACAGGTGTCTTGTGTACAGTTGTTATGTATACAGGTGTCTTGTGTACAGTTATGTATACAGGTGTCTTGTGTACAGTTGTTATGTATACAGGTGTCTTGTGTACAGTTATGTATACAGGTGTCTTGTGTACAGTTGTTATGTATACAGGTGTCTTGTGTACAGTTATGTATACAGGTGTCTTGTGTACAGTTGTTATGTATACAGGTGTCTTGTGTACAGTTGTTATGTATACAGGTGTCTTGTGTACAGTTGTTATGTATACAGGTGTCTTGTTTACAGTTGTTATGTATACAGGTGTCTTGTGTACAGTTGTTATGTATACAGGTGTCTTGTGTACAGTTATGTATACAGGTGTCTTGTGTACAGTTGTTATGTATACAGGTGTCTTGTGTACAGTTGTTATGTATACAGGTGTCTTGTGTACAGTTGTTATGTATACAGGTGTCTTGTGTACAGTTGTTATGTATACAGGTGTCTCTAACCCAGACCTGTTCTGGAGGGAGGCCGCTCATTCTCTAAAGCAGTGTCTCCCAAAGTGGGGTCCGCGGCCCCCTGGTGGGCCGCGTGGGTACTGCAGGGGGGCCGCGGGAGGTCATAAAAAAAATAAAAAAATAATATAATTATTTAATGTTAAATTTATAATGTTTTGTTTGTAGTATTAAAATATTTGTGTTCATTATTTGACTTGAATAAGCCACTGTAATCATTTTTGTATTACAATGTTTGTAGCAGAGGCTATTTCCCCAAAATAAAATAACCAGAAGAGCCTATTCTTAATGTTGTCTTCTTGGTTATTATTTTGGGGGGCCACGCAGACCCGTCAGATTTTTAAGGGGGCCTCGGTGTTACTGAGTTTGGGAATGGCTGCTCTAAAGCCATTGATTTAAAGGGTTTGACTGTAAATTGTAAAGTCCTTGTGCTCCTCACACCTCTGTGTAGGTTTCCTCCAGGCGCTCCAGTTTCCATGACAGTATTTTCAGAGCAAAGTAACAGACCACAGCGACTGTTCAGGTTTTTATTTTTAACAAAAAGATGTCAAATAAAAATCAAGTAAAAAAACATTTGCATAAAATCAGCAACAAATGTAGCAGACACCGCCTGAAGGCCACAGGATCAGGATCACTACAGCTGCTTCAGCTGTCACACCTGTATGCAGCTGCTACAGCTGTCACACCTGTATGCAGCTGCTACAGCTGTCACACCTGTATGCAGCTGCTACAGCTGTCACACCTGTTTACAGCTGCTACAGCTGTCACACCTGTTTACAGCTCCTACAGCTGTCACACCTGTTTACAGCTCCTACAGCTGTCACACCTGTATACAACTGCTACAGCTGTCACACCTGTATACAACTGCTACAGCTGTCACACCTGTATGCAGCTGCTACAGCTGTCACACCTGTATACAGCTCCTACAGCTGTCACACCTGTATACAGCTCCTACAGCTGTCACACCTGTATACAGCTCCTACAGCTGTCACACCTGTATACAACTGCTACAGCTGTCACACCTGTATGCAGCTGCTACAGCTGTCACACCTGTATGCAGCTGCTACAGCTGTCACACCTGTATACAGCTCCTACAGCTGTCACACCTGTATACAGCTCCTACAGCTGTCACACCTGTATACAGCTCCTACAGCTGTCACACCTGTATACAGCTGCCCCTCTGGGATCTTCTCTGTCTCCAGTTTCATGAGTGCTTTAAAAGAAGGTCGGGAGTCAGAGGGTTTGGAGGGGGGGCAGAGGTCGGAGGGTATGGAGGGGGGCAGGGGCAGAGGTCAGAGGGTATGGAGGGGGGGGCAGAGGGCTTGGGAGGGGGGGCAGAGGTCAGAGGGTATGGAGGGGGGGCAGAGGGTTTGGGATGGGGGGGGGCAGAGGGTTTGGGAGGGGGGGCAGAGGTCAGAGGGTATGGAGGGGGGCAGAGGGTTTGGAGGGGGGGGCAGAGGTTTGGAGGGGGGGGGTTTGGAGGGGGGGCAGAGGGTTGGGGGGGGTAAGGGTTAGAGGGTATGGAGGGGGGGCAGAGGTCTGAGGTTTGAGGGTTTTGGAGGGGGGGCAGAGGGTTTGGAGGGGGGGCAGAGGTTTGGGGGGGTAAGGGTTAGAGGGTATGGAGGGGGGGCAGAGGGTATGGAGGGGGGGTAGAGGGTGTGGAGGGGGGGCAGAGGGGTATGGAGGGGGGCAGAGGGTATGGAGGGGGACAGAGGGTATGGAGGGGGGATCACTTGTATTTCTAATAGACATAGATCTCCTTTAAAGCAGAACATCGACACCGGACCTTGGATCCACATGGTTTTGGATCCACATGGTTTTGGATCCACATGGTTTTGGATCCACGTGGTTTTGGATCCACGTGGTTTTGGATCTCGCATGGTTTTGGATCCACATGGTTTTGGATCCCACATGGTTTTGGATGCCACATGGTTTTGGATCTCACATGGTTTTGGATGCCACATGGTTTTGGATCTCACATGGTTTTGGATGCCACATGGTTTTGGATGCCACATGGTTTTGGATGCCACATGGTTTTGGATCTCACATGGTTTTGGATGCCACATGGTTTTGTAAACGTACAAAGACTTTCTCTGAGCTGGAAGACGGTTCTCACATCGACACTGATCTGATTCAGACTTTAGTAAAAACTAAACAAATACAAACAACAAACAATTTGGATTCAGGTCAGAGATTATCTAACCCGAGATGATCTAACCCGAGATTACCTAACCCGAGATGGCCTAACCCGGGATTATCTAACCCGAGATGACCTAACCTGAGATGATCTAACCCGAGATGATCTAACCCGAGATGACCTAACCCGAGATTATCTAACCCGAGATTATCTAACCCGAGATGACCTAACCCGAGATTACCTAACCCGAGATGGCCTAACCCGGGATTATCTAACCCGAGATGACCTAACCCGAGATTACCTAACCCGAGATGGCCTAACCCGGGATTATCTAACCCGAGATGACCTAACCCGAGATTATCTAACCCGAGATTATCTAACCCGAGATTATCTAACCCGAGATGACCTAACCCGGGATTATCTAACCCGAGATGACCTAACCCGGGATTATCTAACCCGACATGACCTAACCCGAGATGACCTAACCAGTGATTATCTAACCCGAGATGACCTAACCCGGTATTATCTAACCCGAGATGACCTAACCCGGGATTATCTAACCCGAGATGACCTAACCCGGGATTATCTAACCCGAGATGACCTAACCCGAGATTATCTAACCCGAGATGATCTAACCCGTGATTATCTAACCCGAGATGATCTAACCCGTGATTATCTAACCCGAGATTATCTAACCCGAGATTATCTAACCCGAGATAATCTAACCCGAGATGACCTAACCCGAGATGACCTAACCCGATATTATCTAACCTGAGATTATCTAACCCATAAATGTATTCAAATGGTCAGACTAACCCAGGATGACCCAAAATAACCCAGGCTAATCTAGAATAACCCAGGCTAACCAAGGATAATCCAGAACAACCCAGGCTGACCCAGGATAACCCAAGCTAACCCAGGATAATCCATAATAACCCAGGATAACCCATAACAACCCAGGATAACCCAGGATAATCCATATTATCCCAGGATAACCCAGGATAACCCATAACAAACCCAGGATAACCCAGGATAATCCATATTATCCCAGGATAACCCAGGATAATCCATAATATCCCAGGAAAACCCAGGATGAGGCTCAGACTGAATCCAAATTGTTGTTTATCATTTGTTTTAAAAAAATGGAACAAAATACAGCCTCAAATAAACAAAGTCCTGTCTTTAAGAAAACACAACAGGTTTGGACAGACGTGGGTCAGACATAACCCGGACCCAGACCCAGACCCAGGCCTAGACCTAGACCTAGACCCAGGCCCAGACCCAGGCCTAGACCCAGGCCTAGACCCAGACCCAGAAGCAGGCCCAGACCTGCAGCAGAATACATGATAAGAATATAGAGATTATAAACAGCATTAGTGCAGTTGGTAAAGTATCCTCTGCCTCGTCCCCAAAAGCTGAGACCAGGGACCAGAGAGACCAGGGACCAGAGACCAGGGACCAGAGAGACCAGGGACCAGAGAGACCAGGGACCAGAGACCAGGGACCAGAGACCAGGGACCAGAGAGACCAGGGACCAGAGAGACCAGGGACCAGAGAGACCAGGGACCAGAGAGACCAGGGACCAGAGAGACCAGGGACCAGAGAGACCAAAGACCAGAGAGACCAGGGACCAGAGAGACCAAAGACCAGAGAGACCAGAAACAGAGGGACCAGAGAGACCAAAGACCAGAGAGACCAGAAAGACCAGAGACCAAAGACCAGAGAGACCAGAGATACCAGAGACCAGAACACAGAGACCAGAGGGACCAGAAAGACCAGAGACCAGAAAACAGAGACCAGAGGGACCAGAGAGACCAAAGAGCAGAGGGACCAGAGACCCCAGAAAACAGAGACCAGAGGGACCAGAGAGGCCAGAGAGACCAGAGGGACCAGAGAGACCAGAGAGACCAGAGGGACCAGAGAGGCCAGAGAGACCAGATAGACCAGAGAGACCAGAGGGACCAGAGAGACCAGAGAGACCAGAAAACAGAGACCAGAGGGACCAGAGAGGCCAGAGAGACCAGAGGGACCAGAGAGGCCAGAGAGACCAGAGGGACCAGAGAGACCAGAGAGACCAGAGGGACCAGAGAGGCCAGAGGGACCAGAGAGACCAGAGACCAGTAACCAGAGGCCAGAGAGACCAGAGGGACCAGAGAGACCAGAGAGACTAGAAAGACCAGAGGGACCAGAGAGACCAGATACAAGAGACACCAGGGAGAACACAGACCAGACACCGGGCCAAACCCAGAACAGAACTGTGCCTCTGAGTCATTGTTAGTTATATTTATTGTTTCTTTTCAAAACCTGCAATGATTTTCTGTGAAGCAGTAAATAATGAAAATAAAAAGTGCTTTGATGGTGATTCATTGAGTCTTATTTAGAGAGAGATCTAAGTCCCAACGATGTTTGAAAGACTTACAAAGTGCGATAATAAAAAGCCGCCTACAGCTTTAAAACTTGATTTCTTTAGAGAAACTCCTGAACTTCCCACATAAAAATCAAATGTAAAACACTAGTGTAAGAGAAGGAAAGCCCTCTATTCTTTTGGCCAATGACCAGAATGAGTCTGACACCTCTGGTCTCGATGGTCCCAGAACATGGTCCCATCAGAATGAGTCTGAAACCTCTGGTCTCGATGGTCCCAGAACATGGTCCCATCAGAATGAGTCTGAAACCTCTGGTCTCGATGGTCCCAGAACATGGTCCCATCAGAATGAGTCTGACACCTCTGGTCAGAGTGAGTCAGAGTGAGTCAGGGTGAGTCAGGGTGAGTCAGAGTGAGTCAGAGTGAGTCAGGGTGAGTCAGAGTGAGTCAGAGTGAGTCAGGGTGAGTCAGAGTGAGTCAGAGTGAGTCAGGGTGAGTCAGGGTGAGTCAGAGTGAGTCAGAGTGAGTCAGAGTGAGTCAGAGTGAGTCAGGGTGAGTCAGGGTGAGTCAGGGTGAGATAGAGTGAGTCAGAGTGAGACAGAGTGAGTCAGAGTGAGTCAGAGTGTATCAGGGTGAGCCAGGGTGAGTCAGGGTGAGTCAGGGTGAGTCAGGGTGAGTCAGAGTGAGTCAGAGTGAGTCAGAGTGAGTCAGAGTGAGTCAAAGTGAGTCAAGTGAGTCAGGGTGAGTCAGGTGGTCAGGTGAGTCAGGTGAGTCAGAGTGAGTCAGAGTGAGTCAGAGGAGTCAGGTGAGTCAGGGTGAGTCAGGGTGAGTCAGGGTGAGTCAGAGTGAGTCAGGTGAGTCAGAGTGTGAGTCAGGGTGAGTCAGGGTGAGTCAGGTGAGTCAGGGTGAGTCAGGGTGAGTCAGGGTGAGTCAGGGTGAGTCAGGGTGAGTCAGGGTGAGTCAGGGTGAGTCAGGGTGAGTCAGGGTGAGTCAGAGTGAGTCAGAGTGAGTCAGAGTGAGTCAGGGTGAGTCAGGGTGAGTCAGGTGAGTCAGGTGAGTCAGGGTGAGTCAGGGTGAGTCAGGGTGAGTCAGGGTGAGTCAGGGTGAGTCAGGGTGAGTCAGGGTGAGTCAGGGTGAGTCAGAGTGGTCAGGTGAGTCAGGGTGAGTCAGGTGAGTCAGAGTGAGTCAGAGTGTGTCAGGGTGAGTCAGGGTGAGTCAGGGTGAGTCAGAGTGAGTCAGGGTGAGTCAGAGTGAGTCAGAGTGTGTCAGGGTGAGTCAGAGTGAGTCAGAGTGAGTCAGGGTGAGTCAGGGTGAGTCAGGGTGAGTCAGAGTGAGTCAGAGTGAGTCAGAGTGAGTCAGGGTGAGTCAGAGTGAGTCAGGGTGAGTCAGGGTGAGTCAGAGTGAGTCAGAGTGAGTCAGGGTGAGTCAGGGTGAGTCAGAGTGAGTCAGGGTGAGTCAGAGTGAGTCAGAGTGTGTCAGAGTGTGTCAGAGTGAGTCAGAGTGAGTCAGAGTGTAGTCAGGGTGAGTCAGGGTGAGTCAGGTGAGTCAGGGTGAGTCAGGGTGAGTCAGGGTGAGTCAGGGTGAGTCAGAGTGAGTCAGAGTGAGTCAGAGTGAGTCAGAGTGTGTCAGAGTGTGTCAGGTGAGTCAGGTGAGTCAGAGTGAGTCAGAGTGAGTCAGGGTGAGTCAGGGTGAGTCAGAGTGTGTCAGGGTGAGTCAGGGTGAGTCAGAGTGAGTCAGAGTGTGTCAGGGTGAGTCAGAGTGAGACAGAGTGTGTGTCAGGGTGAGTCAGGGTGAGTCAGGTGAGTCAGGGTGAGTCAGGTGAGTCAGGGTGAGTCAGGGTGAGTCAGGGTGAGTCAGGGTGAGTCAGGGTGAGCCAGGGTGAGTCAGGGTGAGTCAGGGTGAGTCAGGTGAGTCAGGGTGAGTCAGGGTGAGTCAGGGTGAGTCAGAGTGAGTCAGAGTGAGTCAGAGTGAGTCAGAGTGAGTCAGGTGAGTCAGGTGAGTCAGGTGAGTCAG